GAAACCAGACTTAATTTGTAAACAAGAATCAAAAAGGAAGTGATGAGAGAGAAAATTTTGATTTAATAGAAAACTATAGCACAATCTTATAGGTTATTTATTCTTTGGACTTCCTCCAATATTTGCCTATAATTCTCCAAATTGACATATTCAATTTTTCCCCAACCTTCTTGACTCAACATAACTAAGAACTAAAACTGGCCTTTCTCCCAAAACTGGAAGCTACAGATAGATGACTTGATATAAACTTAAAGAAAATCACCGTAGCAGATCATGTCCAGGCAGCCCTCATACCTGCTACTATGTGAACCTCAGAAAGATCACCAGAACACCTGATGCCATCACGGAAAACATTCAAACTGTGAACTAGGAAATCAGTCAGATTGCCACTGCTCTCCTCTCTCCAACATCTAAAGATGCTTTGAGTTCAAGTCCATAAATCTTTTTGACTAGCTGTCCTCTAGACTGAGAAACTGAGTTTTCAACTGTTAACTTGGTTTTCACAGAAGCTCCCCTAAGTAAATGCCTGACTGCTTGTACCAGCAGCAAATATCCTCTACTGACAAATCTCAACAGTTGGTTTATCAGACCTTGAGGGAATAAAGAGTGATTAAATAAAAATTAGACTTAAAATATCTCCTTTCCTTGAACAAGGATGACTGCTGAAAGACTCTATCCTTGACCAAGCTTTAATCAAATCCCTCTGAGCCCTCAACTAGGCCCAATCTTGTAGAATCCAGTTTCAGCAAGAATCCTGCTAAGTCAGGTTACAGAAAATCCCCTGCTCTTGCTATCTGACCATCCTCAATATAGGATCATATTCCTCAGAAATCTGTCACATACAGAAGCCTTATATGTCTTCATATCTAATCATTCTAACCTGTCTTCAGCAAAAATTATGTTGATCTGATATAGCAAAACAAATTCCCCTTACCTCTGATGTTTCCTCTTAGTAATTTTCCATCCACTAACCCCCATTCTGCTTCTTGGTTTTAAATTTCTACTTGTTATTATTGGAATTTGAGTACAACCCAATTTCTCTCCCACTGCAATACTCCATTGCAGTTGTCTCCAAAACTATTGTGATCTTCTCCTCTGATAAATCTGCCCTTCCTAACTTCACAGACATTACTGAATATTTTTTCCTTTAACATAAAGAAGCAACATGCTTTACAATTCACCTTAGCTTTCCTTTCCAAACTTGTGGAAGACAAAACACACTCTCAGAAGCAAGAAGGCCTATTGTCTTTCCTTTAACAAATGTAGAAGAAGAAAAATGGTATTTAATACTGATTTCAGTCACTTTTTGCTTTCTACATGAATGATCTAAATCACCTCAGAGGTATATAGCTCTTTTGTTTAGAAAAATACTTTGCTTTGATAATAGGCCTTAGCTATTTGGCCTTTTTGATGGAGAAATGTGAGAACCCTTGCTCAAAGTTTAAATCAACGTGAGCCAGAAAAGAGACCTAAATTGCACCGCAAAACACAATGAGATTGTGGCCAGGAGGGAGGACAGCAGACAGGGTAGGGAGGAAAGCAGGGGAGAGAAAGAGGAAGGGGCAAGGAGACACACAATGTAGGAGGCTTGATGGGAAATTCCCTGTGATGGGGCATAGCTAAGGAATTGAGAACATGGTGGTGTAAGAATTGGTTGTAAGTTGTGGGTACTAGGTTGACCTGTCACCATCTTGTCCCTTCCCTCCTGTATTGAGGATTCAGAAAGCTGTGCCACACAAAAGCCTTATGTTAGTTTTATTTGAGGAAAGGAATATGGTGAATCAGCACAATAAGGGAGAAGGCAGAAAGAGAGAGAAAAGACTGGAGGTGAGTGGGTGAACTATTGTTCAGTAACTTAGGAGAATGAGGCTACACTACAAATAAGTACAGAACAATATGAGCCACCTGTGGGGAATTCTCTGAGATAAGGGATGAATGGCAAGGCTAAGCACCATATGGTTTGAACATCCGCCTACAAATTCTTCTCATCAATCAATGTAATTTCCTGCTCATAATGCATCAAAGAACTATGAGGGAATAATGAGACAGAATGCATTAAAATCACTTGAACTCTCAGGTAATTGTCAAGAGAAGTAGCATGTAATACTTGAAATGACTCATTTAGGTAGGAGGTGACAGCAGGTGAAATTAAGAGGAGTATGATGTGATGTGTTACTTCCTTTAAAGAGTTACTGTATATGATCACGAAGGAAAAAATGACAAAATTTGCATATGTACTTTATTTAAAATGTTGACATATTATAGACAGGAAAAAATGTATTGATGAAATAATTGATGTTTATGTTTATGAAAGGCATATTATAATAAGAATTACTTGTGGAAGAAATCCCATTCAATCCATTTCAGATTTATGAATAATGAAATTGAATTTCTCTGATATATTAAAAAACTTACAGCATTAATGAATTTTACTGGCAGTTTGGGCCTATGAAAATAGTTAATATCAAGAAAATGAAAATCACAGTAAGGGAGTGACTAAGATAAAACATAAATGAAAAAAATTTTATACAAGTTATTTCAAGTCATTGATGTTCATGTGTAGGAGGAACAACTAAGAATAGATTTTAAAAAATTATTCTACCAAAAGAATACACTAATAAATTATAAAATTGTTTGGTCCTTGATGTGGCTCAATGTCTTTAGTCCAGTGGTTCTCATAGTTTAGTCCCTGGACCAGCAAGATGAGCACTACCTGGGAACTGGCTGCAGATGCAAATTCACATATTCAAGAGAATTGAGGAACAAATAAATTGAGCCATTTTTATCCAAATCTTTGCTAGCCATTGGTTAAAGGCTACTTCTGGGGACATTGCCCTGAATACAAGGTAAGCTTGCCTCCTTGGCCACAAAAACAAAACAAAAAATCCCTCAGGCAGAGTGGCAGTGTTTGAAGTAAGCAGTCTTTTGCATACCCAGGTGAGCACTGATGGGAAATGACAGGGCACCAAGAGCCTTTGCTAAGGTCCCTGAATTTTGTGAGAAAGATCTAGGTTTTATTACCTCAATCATCATTATTATGTTAATATCAATGATGAATTCCATGATCAGAAAGAGATATAGAATCTTGGATAGTACACTGCAAAATGGTCATCACTTTCCATTTCTTTCTGGGACTGTCCCAGAACAAGCTGGATGTGGTAGGGAGTTGGTGCCAGTCACTGCTGTACAGCAATTCTAGTGAGCAGAACATTTTAGTAGGGAATACCTGAAGTTGATGAGCTTTTCTGGTCCCTCTGACACATTTAATAATGGAGTGATTTTAAAACTATTTAAATGTTACAGAACATGATATATTGTATATATTTCATGTACAGAACATGAAATATAGTACATTTAAAGAAATAGAAATGCCAATTGATTCAGCAAACATATTCATCTAATTCTACCACTGATTAGTAGCAAATACATAAACTCTCAGTGGAAACAGGAAAATCCTTCTACATCCTTTCCTGTTATGGCTTGTATCGAAATAAATGTTCCACCAAAGCCTCATGCACTGATAGGTGGGGTTTTGGGGAAGTGGCTGGATCGTGGGTGTGTGATGCTGGATTAGGGTATGTGATACTGGGATTAAAGCATGGGATAAATAAATTGGTTTAGCATTGATCAGAATGTGGATAATGGGAAGGCACACCCAGGATGTTGGTGTCACTACCCAAAAGGCTTGTAGCCTGGGTGGGATAAAAGGGAGAGGGAGGCTTGCTGTTGCTGCTTGCTGCTTTGCTGCCTTCTGTCTTCCATGCCATGAACAATTTTTCTTCTGCCATACCCCTCTGCCGCACTGTGCTGCCTTGGAGACAGCCAACTATGGACTGTAACCTCTACAAACCGTGAGCCAAAATAAACCTTTCCTCCTTTAACTTGTGGGTGTTGGGTATTTTTTCTCAGCAAAGAGAAAAGTAACTAAGCCATTCCCTCAAGATTTATTTCCAGAAACAGGCTTAAAGAACAGATATAACTGCCTCATGGAATAATGTCTTTCCCCAGATTGTGTTGCTTACACTGTATTGGGCTTTAGATTTTCCAAGTAAGTCTCCTATCAGTGTCTTGTTACAGCATGGTAAACTACTTTTGCCAGAGTCATCACACAACTTAATAAAAAAAAAGTAAAATAAACACAGTGATCATCTGTATTTACCATTGCCTTACCATAAATTTCCAGGCCCAGTTCATGCACCTAGGTTGATTTTTATGTAAAAGATGATACTTTGGCATAAATTTTGTCTTCTTTTATGTGTCTATCTCTCACTTAAAAAATAATTGCTATATTTAGGAAGAAAAGGGGCAAAGGGGAAGGGGAAGTGGGAGGGGTAGGGGAAAGGAAAGAAGGGAATGGAATTAATATGAGAAAATGAAAAAATGCAAACAAAATCTTTGTAAATAGGGAGGGATTGAGGGGTTGAAGGGAGGACAGGGGAATGGGGAAAAATAAGAACCAAGAGAGATTAAGTAAAGGTGCAAATTTCCAATGATGAATGTCATTATATTGTATACCTAAAATGTATCAATAAAATTAATTTTTTTAAAAATAATAATTGCTATATACTCAATATGCATACCTTTTAAGAGAAAGAACTAATAATGAAAATGAGATCACAGAAAATCCTTGGTTTCAAAGGTTACCAATGGATCCAGTTGGTAAATCTACCCTGCAGGAGTGTTTTGTTTGTCTGCAATTGTTTTTAGTTTGTATGAAATAGGAGCACTTATAAATGAGGAAATTTCACATAGAATTGTCCATATGTCTGCTTCCTCTTCCAAAAAAGTCAGATAATCAGATATTTTTGTTTTCATAATTTGCCTGGCAGCTTAAGAAAAGGCTGAGAAATGGCAGTCCCCTTAACATAGGGTACATACACTGTTTATCATAGTCAACACCATCTGCCAGTTTTCCTGCCTTACCTTCAGAGTCACTTAATTTGTGATCCACTGTAAACAAGATGTTGGATACAAAATTTTAGAAATGTAGTACATCTTACCCTTTATACAGATGCCTCAGACTAGGGAACTTTCATCTAAAGTACAGGCTTCTCAGACTTGATTGGCTGGATTAACAAGTATAATTGATGGTGCGAAGCCAGGGAACCTAAGGTGACAATGTGATAAGGTATAACATATAAAGTAATCTAAGACAGTCTACTCACTTCCTGTTGTACTCTTTTTAAAAAACTTTATTTTAATATAACACAAGCAGATATTAATAAAGAAAATATAAAAGCCATTCTACAAAAGAATAATTTTTCATAACAAAAATTATTAGTGATAACAAAGGTAAATTACTATTCAGCCCCCCAAAAAGGATAAGCTTGAGACATTTATATGTAAATGGATGCACCTTAAGAATACACTTTTAGTGGGCCGGGGATTTAGCTCAGTGGTTCTGCTGCCTGCCTCACAAGCACAAGGTCCTGAGTTAGATTCACAGTACCAAAAAAAAAAAGAACATACTTTTAAGTGAAATAAATTGAACACACATGTGTAAATATCGTATTGTCTCTCTAGTGTGAGAAACTGAAAGTGAAAAAAAAGACCTGTTGTACTCTTAGCAATATTCTCCTTGTCCTATCTCAAGTCAGGTTGTGCTTCTGCCCTACAGAGGTCCTCCTCCACATAATTCTACACCAAGCCCAGCAGAGTAGAGGAAGACTGGAAGAATAAAGACAGAACCAAAACATGGAAAAAAATTAAGCCTGAGGAAAAAAGTTGTGCTTAACGGGAGGATGGGAGAGAAAGAAAGAGAGAAAGAATGAGAATATATGAATATATTACCAAGTGGCAGAAATGAAAATGTTCTTACCTTGGGGGATAAAGATCAATCTCAGTACTTTGTATCTTTAATGTTGCTTTTCCATTAGAACCATAGCTTTAAAGCATGTGACCTTATGCATAGGGTGAAATGATATAAAGGACTGAAAAATTAAATGCAAATGAGTTATTGGTGTCAGCATTTTAAGGGTAGCCATAGGTTGATTCATGAAAGTGCAAGATGAGGCTGCTTCTCTTGGAGTGATGCATCAACTGAGACAAGGAAGATTTTAACAAAGTGATGTTTATCTCCTGTGCTTGATACAGGGACATTTTCAGTGAAGGAAAACTGGATTATAAAACACATCCCCAGATACATTTCTCTGCTCATTTTCCAAAGTGGACTCCTAAACGGGGCCTATAAATTCTATAATTTCAGTGAAAATGAATTCAGTTGAAATTGTGCACATGGATTATAGAAGCCTTTCTTACATATTCCCCAATTATTTGTGTAGGACTATTGCCTTAGTCTGTATAGCCTCCAAACACGATTATAGCCCAATCCTCTTTCATAATTATGAAACATAATATTGTGAAGCAATAATAAAGAAAACTCATATCACATATGTGACATTAAATCCATAGACTTTCTGTCTGTACTAGGGAAACCCCTAAATTTTGCTCCAGTGAAATGTCCATCATTTGCCCCAGATGTCTTCCCATTGCTCTATATACAATACTTACTGGGCACCTTATTCACATTCCACACTGACTCTCTATTGACCCATTATGTTAGTTTGCTATGGCTATGTAACAAATTGCTAGAAACTGAGCATCTAACAATATGCCTTTATTGCCTGACACTTTTGAAGTTGAGAACTCTGGGTGAACTTGTCCAAGTTCTCTGCTCTGCGTCTCACAAGACTGAAATCAAAGTGTTGGCTGAGCTGGTCTAGAGGCTCTGGGGGAAGAATTTGCTTCAATCTAAAGTTTATTTAATGGTTTTGGGCAGTTTAATTTTTCTTGCAGTTATAAAATTGAAGTTGCAATTTCTCTTCTGGCAGCTGACAGCCTCCTTTTTCTTATAGAGGACATCCACATTTTTTTTTCCCATGGTCCACTCTACCATCAAAACTTGGAATGATGCATTGTAGCCATCACATGTTTTGAATTTCTCTGACATTTCCACTTGTCCTCTTCTTCTACCCTAGTTGGAGAAAATTCTCTGTTTTAAGAGCACTTGTGTTTTGATTAGGCCCTCCCTGGTACCTTACTTTTATTTTTTATTTTATTTTTTGCTGCACAAGAGATACTACTTTTTTTGGTACCGGGGATAGAACTAGGGACCTTGCACTTGCGAGGCAGGCAGTGGAACCACTGAGCTAAATCCCCGGCCCCAGAGATACTACTTTTAAAAGCGTCATCTGTGCCATAAACCAAGAAACAATCACAGAAGTGATATCACATTTTATTCACAAGTTCTGACGATTAGGGCCTAGAATCTTGGAAGGCATTTATAGAAAGTGTGCTGACCACATCTATCAATGTACATTTTGACATATACTGTCAACTTACAGGGACAGTTCATAAGTGCATCATGAACTATATCAATTGTTAGGTGATGAACAGCATTCCAAATATCCAATGAAGGAGGACTCAGATTTCTGGTAGGTCATAAGAATTTGTCTTCCAGGGCTAGAAGATTTTTCAGTCAATCACAGACCCCAATACCTGGCTACCAATACTTCACATCTAGACGTCTAGAGGAAGGTGAGCTGTTGCATAGAAATTGACCAACTGAGACACAAGGATCCTTTCTCTTTAAAATCATATTAACTGTATCATATGAACTCTGTATTGCCTTAGCCTTTTGGTGTTGAGATCCCAATAAATAGTCTTAGAATTTGAGGGATAAACAGTCCATTAAATGTTCTGATAGATATGTAAATGAGTTATTAGAACAAGATAATACTAAAAACAGTATAATTTTTTCGGTTTTTAAATATATGTAGATGTGTAGACTATATTTTCTGTTTTCCCTGGGCAGGTTCTGTGTTCAGAAAAAAATAAAAAAAAATAGTTCAAAATACTATTACTTTGATTTTAAAATTGTTTAAATTCATTTAAAAATTGATATCAATATAAAGTAATATTTAACCTGGCTTTCTTTTTAATCTCTAAGAAAATCTGTAGATCCTATTATTCTATTTATATATGTAGTAAATTCTAACAGATACTGACTAACAAATCTTTGATTTAATATTTAATCAAGTCGGGCAGACTGAAATACTACTATATGAGCACCTACTATATGCCAAGCATCTTTACAGGTATTATGAGCACAGCATCAAGCAAAGGAAAATGTTAGCCTTGGCGGAGAGCATATTTTAGTGAGTAAAACAGGTCATACACATATATACTCCAATGACGGAGAGTGATTAGTGCCCTATAGAAGAGCTATAAAGATAGAGATGTAATCTTTGCTTTGAGTACCCAGATGCCCAGAAAATTTTTAGGGTTCTATTAACATGAATAAAAGAAAACAAAATAATATTTAAGGATAACTAGCTATCTCAACATCACAATCACAGTAATTAAGCAAACTGGGATTTAACAACTAAAGAGTTAAGGATGAGTTATTATACTAAGGATTAAATTTGATTTGGGACTTCTTGGAGGATGAGATCAGAAGAGCAACACAAATATTGTGGCCTAAGGCACATTCACTGAAGGCCAGAATTGTAAAAGGAGAGAAACTACACACCCTTGTGCTTTCTCTGGGAATAAATAGCACTGATTGATATTCTAAACAGGTATTAATCACCTTCGGGGAGGTCAAGGTCTTAATCCTGCCTCTCCACGAACTATCCCTGACCCCCACCCTTACTGAAAGTCCTTGTAAGCTTGCTACCAGACTTGCTTCCCAATTGGACTACCGTTACTTAAGTGACTATACTTGTACCTTATTGGATGTTCATGGCTGTGGCCCACATTGTACCCATGTGGGTTTCACCCTATAAAACTTCTCTGTAAAGTGGGGTCTTTGGCTACCCACTCGGGACCCCTCCTGCTCCTCAGGAGCTTTCCTATCAATAAATATCTTCCTACTTGAAAAAAAAAGACCCTCCTAAGTGTCAAGTAGAATTTAAAAATAAAATAAGGGTCAACATGAATGTTTGCCTAGTTGTGTAATCTGATATACTTTATACTATTCTATAGCATGATGAATGATTCTTACTGAGCCTCTTAAGTAGATTCAAAAACCAGATCCCTCAGCCATGATGCAGGGAAGGGATTGACAAACCTTTGCTGTACCTGGACAGAGAGTAAATACTTTAGGCTTATAGAGCTATGTGTTCTCTGTGGCACTCAGCACAGCCACTGTAGTGCAAACGAAGTCAAAGACAACCTATCACCCAGTGGATGTAGCTAAATTCCAATAGAAAAACATATAGTGATTCATGGTAGGTTCATTGGGGGTCATTTGTTGACCTCTGATGTAAAGGACTTGGATGGGAAAGCACCTTCTCTGGCAAATGAATCAGTCAGACTGAATGTGTGAGGTATTTCATAACCCTTTTCCTAATGGCAGCCATTTAAAATGTATAAACTTCAGGTCCCACAAAACTGGATATTCCCCTGTGTATAGGACAAGTAGATAGAGATGTGAAAGTATCATGAAACCAGGAGAAGATTCTGAACAAGTATATTTGTAATGCTTTCACATCATCTTTGCAAAATATGAGAAATTCTTATGTAGTAAAATCAAAATTTCCTTTCTATAATTATTTCATACAAAGTTTGAGCCAGACATATAACACATAGTTATTTCTATTTTGTTTTCTTTGAAACTAATTTTAAAAGTATTTTAAAGTTGTGTCAGGATTAGCCATATTTTCAGACAATTTCTCATTTCTAAGCAAAATTAGAGTGTCTTGATTGATATGGGAGAACTGAATCTACGAGGAGTGCAAGGTAAGACAAAAGGAGTACTTGAGAATTAGAAGAACTCAAGAGTAAAAGTTTAGAACTTAAGGTTCAACTGTTCTCATGTGAGTGACAAAGAATAAAATGTGGAAGTTAGAGCTTTTAAAAAATCTTTGCCAGTAAGGGAACGCATATTAATAAAGGAATTCATCAAGTACTTCACCAGGGGTTTAAAATCAGGAGTTTTATGAGTTAGAAAAATGGTTTCTTGGTAGTTCAAGCTAATTAAGAATTTAATTCAATAGTAGCACTTAGGATGGGAACATAATCAGTCTTTAAATTTAAACACAGTAGGTTCAAACAGGTTCCATTATTCATTCACCAATAAAAAGATTTTTCAATTAAGTCAAGTAA